CATAAAAAGGTTAGAATCGCCAGCACGCTAATCACCAGACAAGCAGCACTAGCTGAAGAAACTAATACAGTTCCCAATTGCCTAGCTGAAGAATTGCACTGTGAATTTCTGCTGACGTAAACATTTCAAATAAGTATGCTATTGAGTCAGCGTGCAATCCCGCAAATTCCGATACATTTTTATGCGTTTTTTGCACCTATGCATTGCAGAAAACGCATATTGACAAAAGGTTTTCTGTGCATGTGTGTGTCTGCATGTTCGTTCTCACCGATTTTTCATCTCGAGACCTACAAAAGCCACAGGGTTGAAACTTTGGAAACTTAATCTACATGTGTGTACGGTTCCCCATCTCCAAAATAGGCGTTCTTACCTGCGCGGTACCCAAATACGGCCCGCCAAAACTTTTTTCGAATAAGATGCTAACTCGGGAGTCTGAAAAGCTAGAGGACTGGAATTTTAAAGGGATGTTCCCCGTCCAAGTAGGTATTAAGGAGCTCAAACCCAGCTCTCGGGTATGAGTGGTGCCAACGTACAGGCCCACCAAAATTTTTTCGCACAATTTGTTAACTCTAGTAAATGACAAGTTAGAAGACTGTAATTTTAAGAAAATGTTCTCCGTCCACGCAGATGTTAATGAGCTCAAATCCAGGCATTGGGTATGCATGGTACCCATGTACGGGCCCATGAATTTTTTCGCAGGTAAACTGCTAACTCGGGAACCAGGAAAGTTAGAAAACTGAAATTTTAAAAGGATGCTTCCTGACACCCCCGGCGGCCAGTCTCAGTTCTTTTAGCTAGAAGCATCTGTCGAAAAAACCAGTGCCTCCAGCCACAGGAAACTATGCAAAAAACGCATCTATTTTACTTAGGCATCAAAACCCCGTTGTTAAGCTAATCACCGCTTCAGCATCCTCATTCATTCATATAATAACAAAAAACAATAAGCGGCAAAGAAAGAGGAAGATACGTAGCTCTGCACCAACAGCAGCAGTATCTGCGCCCGGCATGTGAAAGCATCCTCATCGCATCATCATTAACATCGGATCGACTGTCAGGATAACTCCTTACACTTATTTTGCTATCGTATTTCTGTTATGACAGTCCGAGCCTGACGGGAGGGGCCCAAAAGCCGGTTCTACAGTATTTAAAAAATGTATATAACGTCGTTTGAGAGGGATAACTACAGTTTGAGTAATTTCCGTAAAAAAAAAAAAAAAAAAAACGGAAAAATGCCTTCCATTAGGATCAAAGCAAAAGCAATTCAAAAAACAGACATGCCCTTTTCAACAATGCCAGTGACCTGCAGAAGAATAAGGCGAATGTAATAATAAATCGTACAGAAGAGTGCAGAACGACGTTCAGGTAAAATAAATAGCAGCGTGCACCAAGGCAACCGGTGCGATCATGCGTTTTGTGCAATTTCGTGAACCGAACGATTACTTGCTAATAATTTTCAATGCTTTGCACTTTGGTCTGTGCAAAAATAGTTGAAATGTTGTCTGGTTTCTATGTTGCGGAATTCCCCACTAAAAATTCCACGCACCGGTATGTGAAAGCTGAATTAGAAACCTCGAAGAGTAATATCCTTCCATAAATTCAATCGCCAAATTTCCTAGCTAGCGAGTGATTTTTACGATAAAATTTTCACGTGTTCGTACGTGACAGTTCGACATACTTACGAACTGAATTCAAATTTTTTAAAACCTTGCATAGGCAGGAAACATCCTCCTAAAATTTTCAGTCTCAGCTCTTCTGGTCCCCGAGACAATGATTTTCCCGCCAAAATTCCCACGAGAAAGCTGAAGATTAGGACATCAGGACAAAGGACATCACCCTAAAATTTCAGTCCCGCAACTCCTGGGCTTCCTGAGAAAATAATTTTCCCCGCCGAAACTTTTAGGGGCCATAAGTGATATTTGGACTTGTGGAAGGGCGAATTTAAATTTGTGGGATTGTATGTGGGCCGGAGGGGGAGAGGGGTGGGGGGCGGAGGAGGATACGTGAAATTCCAGCTTCCTCACCTTTATTGTTACCGAGATAATAATTTACCCCTTAAAATTTTCATTGCGCCGTAGGTGACACTCGAGAGTGTGGGAACGCTGAATTTGAGTTTGTAAGGTCGTACGTGGGCAGGGAGTCACAGCCATAAAATTTTAGCCCGCTAGGTTCCATGGTTCCCGAAATAATAATTTACTCGCCAAAAGCTTCACGGAGCCGCACATGAGAAACGAAAAGGTAGTTACAGAAAGATGGACGAAGGGAAGTGCATGGGGCAGGGGGGAAAGGGAAGAGTGGGAAGAAATGCACATTTATCCATTCTCATGTTGTGAATGCGAAATATCCTGAATGCAAAATGTTATTCTGGAGCAACATAAGCTTTAGATTCTTCTAATCTAGGCACGGGTAACTGCAATTCATCAGCGCAGTGCCCCAACAGCAAACTGCTTTCAGCCGGAAAGAAGCGGAAAGGTTAAAAAGCGGTCAACGAGGAAACCAGCAAATGACCAGACTCCCAAATCCAATCTTCAGAAAAGCAGGAAAGATTTGACTGAATAAAAAAAGGCAATTCGTTATTGGCGCCGACTCTGTACAGCTGGTAGAAGTGCCAAAACAATCCAAGCGGGCAACGGAAAAAAAGAAATTTTTGCAAACAGACTTAAACAACTATTTGGCAAACACTGAAACAGAAAACAAAATATTTTTTCCCCTTTTCAAGAAAGAGGTACCACAGAGGAAGCACTGCGCGAGAATTAAACAAGCATTAAAATACGCCTCATCGAGCACACCTTGGTGCCGCACTGTCTCATAGACCAAAAAAAAAAAATAACAGCTGCTGTCCTCTGTCCACAACATATGATAATTGCGTGCTTTGCAAAGGAAAGAGGCACGGAGGTTACTTCAGCAATTAACATGTCATGTTGCCTTTCTCCGTCCGCGCGCAACAATCCATCTTCTAACACAGCGAAGCGATCAAACCTTCTAGAAAGTCTTATAATCCAATAAATTGCTCATACTTCTTCCACAAAGCTTACTCCTTTGGCTACTTTGTACAGAGTAAAAGTAATAGAGTAAAAAATAGGTACTTTGTGTAGAGTAAAAGTAAGTAAAAGGAGTCAACATTTACTGTCACCTTTTCTATCCAAAATGACTAACAAAAACCACAAAATGCT